GTGGGAAAAATGGGGAGATGTTGGTCAAAGGACACAAACTTGCAGTTATAAGATGAATAAATTCTGGAGATCTAATGTACAGCATGGGGACCATAGTTAATAACAGTGTAATCCCAGCACTTTGGGAGGCTGAAATTTGCTAGGAGAGTAGATCTTCATTGCTCTCATCACACACACACAACAGTAACTACGTGAAGTGATGAATATGTTAGCTTACTTGTGGTAATCCTCCCACAGTGTATACGTAGATGAAAACATCTTGTTGTACACCTTGAATATATACAATTTTTTTTTTTTTTTTTTGGTCATTCTGTGACTCCTACACCTTCTTACTCCCTTTGTGACCTTGGGTGGACTCAGCATGGCGACCAAAGACTTTCATGATCTGAAGCGGGTGTGCCCTCTTCATTCCTCATACTTGACATTCCACCCCAAACAGGGTGTGCGCGTTCTCTGAACGGCCTTGCATTTGGGCATGATGTGTTTGCTCGGGCTATTTTCTCTCTCTCTGAATGCCCACTGCTGCCCCTTTCCTGCATGCTCCCCTCAAGGTTCTTTCTACAAAGTGCAGTTGAAATGCTACTTTTCTGAGGAATCCTTCCCCTGACCTGGTCCCAGACTTACTGACTTAGAATCTCAGAGGTCTGGAAATTTGTATCTCTCATGACATCTCGTATAGTGCCTTGCCCATAATAGGTACTTTATATATGTTGGAATTGAAATAGATAATGTATATTAACTCTGCGAGGGGCTAATTGATACCTAGAATGAACATAGGCTAAAATGAGAAGCTAGCATGAGCTAGGTATCAGAACCGAACAAAACACACACCGCAAATAATAAAAACCCAAACCATAGACTAACGTTGGTTAGGAATGAAGATGTGAAAAATCTCAAATAAAATATTAGAACATCCAATTTAACAGCATTAAAGAATGATCATGACTGGGTAGTGTGTTTATCCTGGGAATTAAATTAACACATTATATTGATTGAACAAAAGAGAGAAACCCTGTAGCGCCATACATGCTCAATATCGAAACCTGGTGCCCGCAGTCTCACAATGAACTAGGAAGAGACCAGTACTTCTTAAAGAAGAAGAAGAGTATCTTTCTCAAAGCAATAGCTGACAGTAAACTTCATGGTGAAATAGTAAGGGATTCTTATTACAACCAGCAACAGATAAAAAATGTGCACCATCATGAACAAAACAGTTGTTAAAATGAGACCAGCAAATGCTCTCTGGGGAGTGAAGCTGGCATTCTCCTTCCTGCCTGTAGAGTTATGAATCCATACAACCTTTTGGGAAATCAGTTAGGTGGTCTGTTTGATAAACCATACAAAATCCATACCCTCTGACTCAGACATTTACTTCTCAGAAATTCTCCTAAGGAAATCGGAAATGTTGACAGAAATATGAATAGGTACTCATTACATTTAGAAGAATTAGCAATGACAACAGTCTACTCATCATAACATTTGGAAGAATCGGAAATGACAACAATCTAAATGCCCCACAATGGGGAAATAGTTAAGACTATTATGGGGTATCTGTACAGTGGAATGTAATGAGTCATTAGAAATGTTTAAGAGTTTTAATACCATGAGAATGTTCTTGTGTTGAGTTAGAATGATACAAATTGTATTTAAACGGTCCCTCAACTGTTTATAAAATCTCCTCTGTTTCTTGGTGAGTTAGAAATCACCTTTTTTTTTTTTTTGAGATAGAGTCTTGCTCTGTCACCCAGACTGGACTGGAGTGCAATGGCACAATCTTGCTCACTGCAACCTCCACCTCCCGGGCTCAGATAATCCTCCTGCCTCAGCCTCCTGAGTAACTGGGATTGTAGGTGTGTGCCACTATGCCTGGCTAATTTTTGTATTTTTTGTAGAGTTTCGTCATGTTGCCCAGGCTAGTCTTGAACTATTAGACTCAAGCGATCCACCTGCCTTGGCCTCCCAAAGTGGTGGGATTACAGGCGTGAGCCACTGCGCCTCGCCACTTTTCTATTTTTCTAGTTAGCTTTCTAAATGTTTGAAATGGCTTCCAATGAATTTCATTTTATTATTAGGGGAAACTTCCATACTTATTTTCTTTCTTCCCAAATCTCCACAAGTATACTCTCCTCCCAAAATTTAGATAGTTGTATTTTTCGGATTATTCCAAATAAGAGTGCTGAGAGGCTAATCACAAAGAGCAGCAGCCAGAGATTTACAAAGTGTTCTCTTACTATTGAACATTTTCATTTATTCTTTTTGATAGGACACACATCCATATGGCTCAGAAATCAAAATGTCCAAGAGTTTGTCAAGTGAGTAGTGGCTCTCTTATTCCTGCCCCCGCCATCTGCCCAGTCCTCTTGAAGTACGTAACCAATGATAATAGTTTCTACTGTGCACTTGCAGAGATTTTCCAGGAAATCTCAAGCACCTTGCCTTCCAAGTCACTATATACCAGCTACTCATCTTGTGCCCAGTTCACTTTGGTCACCCTGTCCCCACCACCCCTGTGCTTACATCAACCGCTACTTCTCTCTCTCTGAGCTCAAACACCCCAGAGAGAAGCCTGGGCCTGCCCAGCCTTTTATGGGTAGATGAGGTGGGAGTGTGGGTATGTGCTCCTCTGCCCACTTCAGAGAGTCATCCAGCTTCTGGAAAAATGACAGCAGCCAACTTGACAGAAGAACCCAGCATACACATTCAAGTTCATTGGATAAAAAAAAAAAAAAAAGGCCAGGCGTGGTGGCTCATGCCTGTAATCCCAGCACTTTGGGAGATGAAGGTGGGTGGATTGCTTGAGCCCACGAGTTTGAGACTAGCCTGGGCGACACAGGGAGACCCCTGTCTCTACAAAAAGTAAAAAAATAAAAATTAGCCAGGCATAGTAGCACATGCCTGTAGTCCCAGCTACTTGGGAGACTGAGGTGGGAGGATCCCTTGAGCCCAGGAGGTCAAGACTGCAGTGAGCCCTGAAAATGCCAATGCACTCCAGCCTGGGCTACTGAGCAAGACCCTATCAAAAAAACAGAAACAAACAAAAAACAAAAAAAAAACCGAAAACAACAACAACAAAAAACAAAAAAACACAAAAAATCCCTAAAACTGAAAATAAGTCAAAGGCAGTACTTTGCAGGCAGTGATTTTCAGCTTGAGGGTAGGGCCGTATAGCAGAATCTTTAGAGGGCTTATGTAGTTTGAAACTCCTTCAGTAGCATCATTTTCTACATTTTGAAAGCGGAAATGATCCCGTATCTTTCTGATGTCAACTACAGGAAGTATAGTGTGGCAGTCTGGGCTCTAGAGAGTGAGGTAAAAATAATAAACTGCTTGAAGAACATTGTTCAAAAGCATATCATGTCACTCCCAAGGGGATTACAATTGGGTTTTTGGTGGGGAGGGCAGCAGTGGGGTTAAAAAAAATCTTCATGTCTAAAGCACAGATATGCACACAGCACATAAACAGATGCACAAGACATCTCTGGAGTTAAAATTTCCTGGAGGGTGGCGATTAGAAACAAGTGTTTAACAAGGCTCCTTAGGAGGGTGATAATGGCTTAAGAAAGGTTGAGAGAGGCTGAGTGTGACCTGTAATCCTAGCACTTTGGGAGGCTGAGGCCGACAGATCACCTGAGGTCAGGAGTTTGAGACCAGCCTGGCCAACATAGTAAAACCCTGTGTCTGCTAAAAGTACAAAAATTAGCCGGGTGTGGGGGCACACGCCTGTAATCCCAGTTACTTGGGAGGCTGAGAGGCAGGAGACTTGCTTGAGCCCAGGAAGCGGAGGTTGCAGTAAGCCAAGATCATACCACTGCACTCCAGCCTGGGCGACAGAGCAAGACTCTGTCTCAAAAAAAAAAAAAAAAGAAAGAAAATAAGAAAGGTTGAGAGAGACCGTTCAAAGGCAATGGGACCCAATACTGATACTTTGATGCTTCATGGGTGTTTTGCGGAGGAGAGTTGCGAGGATAAAGAAGAAATAAAAATCTAGCTTCTGGGGCACTGCTGTGAGCAGGCTATTGGGGTCAGCTTGAGCCATTGGCAACTTGGACAAACTTAAAGTTAACATTTGAACTCTTATCTGGTAAGGGGTAGCAGAAAGTTCCCTTCCCTTCTCTGCGCTTCGTGCCTCCATATTCCCCACCGTCGTCACTTCACCCCCTGTATCCCCCAGCTGGACGCGAAAAGTGGAACTTGAACTTGAGGGCTGGCTGTTTTGTCAGGATACAGGATGCCAAGAGTTGAGAGGGCCCAAGGTCTTCCTGTGATCTTTTATATGACACGTCACACGCCAGAACCACAGCGTTAGGCTGGTAGATGTGAGGCCACCCGGTCAGTGATGAGTGGGGCCGCCTCTAGGTCCTGTGTTCCTTCTGTAGGGTCATTCATTAAGAAAGCACAGCGAGGTCTGGGAGATAGCATGATGTCAAGTGTCTGTTTGTGAAGTGTCTTTCTCACTCGCTGGTGGATAGTGTGAGATCACAGTGGAAATTGGAGATGACCCGAGCACTGAGGAGTTAAGGAAGGAGAGCAAGCAACAGGGTGATTCTGGCAGAAAAGTGGAGCAAGGGAGTTGGTTTGGCATTTCTGGATTCTTTTTAGGTCTCCCACACCATCTTTGTAGTTTTGGGCAGGATCACAGAGCTATCTTGGCCCTCACATTTCTTTCTTTCTTTTTTTTTTTTTTAAGACGGGGTCTCCCTCTGTGGTCCAGGCTGGAGTGCAGTGGTGTGATCATGGCTCACTGCAACCTTGACCTCCGGGGTTCAAGTGTTCTTCCTGCCTCAGCCTCCCTCTCTCTCTCTCTTTTAAATCTATAGAATTAGTTGAATCAGACTGAGGTTACTTTCAAGTCTATTATGTTATGAGGGTCAGTACTTAACAAAGTAAGGTATGTCTAATAATTTCTTTATTAATAATAACTGAACCTCACAGCCAGATCATTATAATTGCAAAGAATTAAACCAGAGACTTTGGGGGATTCCACATAGGATAAAACCACAGCACAGGTGCTCTTCCTTCAGTGCTCAGGGTTCTATTTAGTTTTCTCCTTCACTGGGATATCTTTTTTACTAATACTTGGAATTCTTCAAAACTAACTTCTCCATCTCCATTCTTGTCCAGTTCTTGAAAGAGATCATCTAGGGTGTTTGGACTCTGTTTTAGATAAAAAAAGAATGGGAGAGGGGAGGGGAGAAAAAATGAATCAGTTACTGCTACACGTTCTCAGAAATTAGAGGCCTTGGGTCTGTGTGCGAAGGCGGCAGCCCAGGTTTCCAGTGACATGCATCTAATAGCTAACAGAGGGAGACCAGCTCTAGCTGTCATGTTGCTCTGTGTCATAGAACTGGCTACCTTTCCCCCCCCCCATATCACACATTTATTATTTTAATACAATGTGTATTTTAATACAGTTGTTTTCTTATGTAATCTTGGGTCTTTTTCTTTATGCCTCTAAAAACATTCTTCTGAGAAGGGATCTTTGGGCTTCACTGGATTGCCCGTGGTGCACAAACAGTTGAGGACCCCTGCCCCAAGGTTTTCCTGGGAGCTGGGTTTGTCTCCTGCTCCAGGGCTAGGGCTGACATATTACATGAGGCAGCAGGCTGGGAGGGCTCCTTCTATAATCCTTTCGACCACGCTATGAGGGAGATCTACTTTACAGGTGGGGAAACAGGCTCAGAGATAGCCGGTCACTTGCTTGAGCGTCCACAGCTGGTTAGTAGAGGGGTTGGGGTCCACACATTGACTCCAGAGCTCAACCCCTTAACTAACCACTGCCCAGTTTTTCCCAAACGCTGAGTTATGCAAAATGACTTTGGCTCAATGGTTCCCATGCTTTAGCATGCATCAGAATCACACGATAGGCGTGCTGGCCTTAGCAAATACAGATTGCCAGCCCCACCTCCAGAGTTTCTGACTCACTAGGCCTGGGGTGGGGCCTGAGAATCTGTACACAAGGTCTTGCTCTGTCACCCAGGCTGGAGTGCAGTGGCATGATCACAGCTCACTGCAGCTTCCACCTCCTGGGCTCAAATGATCCTCCTGCCTCAGCCTCCCAAGTAGTTGGGACTAAAGGCATGCACCACCACACCCGGCTAATTTTTGAAAATTTTTGGTAGAGACAAGGTCTTGCTGTGTTGTCCAGGCTGGAGAATCTATAGTTTCAGCAGCTTCCCAGGTAGTGCCAGTGCTGCTGCTCTGGGACCACACTTGGAGAACCACTGCTTGAGATGTCATGTGAGATCGTGTGCAGGCTTTTTGACTACTGAACTTCCTGCAGTGTCTTAAGCGGACTTAATTTTTGTCTCTACCATAAAACTCTAACCTTAAAGCCATTACTACTTGGATTTTCAGGTAGGAGTCTATCTGTGCAAAATACTATTTAGAAAACCAATTGAAATAACAGTTCAGTTTGTCAGTTTCAAATTAGACTATATTACATATATGTATATATAAATTGTGGTAAAAAACACATAGCATTGAATTTATGCTCTTAATCATTTTTAAGCATACAGCCCAGTAGTGCTAAGTAGATTCACAATGTTGTGCAACACATCTCTATGGAAGATCTGTTTTAACCCCTAAGATTCCTACAAAAACACTCAGCACTTTGCTTTGATTACAAGACCAAACTGTAAGTTACTTATTCAGCTTTTGATTTATGAATATGAAACACTGTTTTCCTGAAGCCTTTACTAGATTCTAAACCATACATGGTGATGATATATGGAAACAGAGTATGGTGGAAAACCTTAGTAATGGAAACCTTATGGAAATATAATCAGGTACATGTAAGTACACTTTCAGAACTTACCATTTGTCTTCCTACCTTGTTCCAGATTATGTCTTATGTACTTTTTGTAGGAAGGACATAAAGTATAGAAAAAGTTACTCATGTTACCTTTTGAGTTAACTTGTTTGAGTACATGGCCTAGGCTTTCCTGTTAGATGATTATTTTTCTTCCTTTTAGAAAAAAATAAAGGGTTTTTTAAAATTTAAAATGTCTCACTAACTTGTTTTGCTTTGTAATTAAAAAGTCCATTTTTCTGCTAGTGATTTTAACTGTTTTTACAAGTTCTTCTGTATTTCAACTATAAGAAAATGAGAAAATATCAGATTACAGGGTCATTGAATTCAGCTTTTTTTCTTTTTATTATTAAAAACAGAAGTCTTTCCAATTGTCATATTGGCAGAAGGGACATTTCTGGTTAAAATCTGGAGAGCTGGTTAAAATATTTGAAGAAATGTTCTCTCCTGAAGTTAGAGCTAAATAGTGACTGAGTCATAAGGAACAATTGCATGTCATTTCTGTTGTGAAGATGGTTTTTAGTTGCAAAATGACAATGACTGTCTCGTTTGAGTCCTCTGCTTAACTAGACCCGACCTTGGGCTTCCCCTCTTTGTCCTTGTATCTGACCACCCTTAATATCTGATCACCTGGCCTGCCTTCAGCTAGGATCCTATCAAGGCAATTTAACCAAAAACTCCTTATCCTGGATATTTCCCTGGTAATTTTCCATCCATTGGCCCCCCATCCTGTTCCATGATCATAAATCCCCACTTGTCCATTTAGGAGTTGAGCCCAATCTCTCTCCCCATGGCAAGAACCTGTTTCAGTATGGATTGCCATGGCCCTCCTGGAGTGAGTTGCCTTACCATCTTTAGCAAATGTCCTCAGTCAGTTTTTTCTTTAGCAAAAGGAAAGTACTGTATATTGGAGAGAGGAGGATCAGCTCTTCTCTCCACTCTGTTGCCTTGAATACATTTTGATTTTGACAACTCTGGGGTGATTTTGATGTGAAACTTTATGGCCCAGGAAATTTAGTCCTTTCTTGAAAGTTGTTTAGAAATGCATGGTTGCCTCATTAACACAAATTTAAGTGATGATCACAAATTTAAATGCTTTTGAAATATAAATGAGTGCTGACAAGGCAATTTGTCAGTGGGTTTTCCTAACAGACTGCTAAGTAAATGTTGGTCTTGTTGAGGGATTTTACATATAAAAATGAAGCCCATCCAAGGCCAGCTAACACTATTTTGCAATCCTCTTTGTTTTCCTAAAGCCTGGCACAGAATTACTGAATCCTTGCTGAAGGCCTTAGTGGGTTTGCTTGATGACTTGTGGGTCTTCCAGGCATAATTTGGCATTGCTTCCATTTACCATGGCTAGTCCTGCAGAGTCCTGTGCTGAGGCTGCGGGAGGGATAGAAGGCTTGGCCCTTGTTTTCTGAGAGCTTGCCTTCTGAAATGTGGCCTGACTTAAGGGGAAGAAAGCCCACCTGCATGTGTCCTCTCTCAAGCGATGGTCCCTATAAAGCTTTACCAGAGTCCTCTCCCCTCCCTCCCTCCCCACCATCAGTCCCATTAAGCGGGCTCTGGGGATGGCCACTTACTTTGAGTAAACTGGGGAATTCAGCCTGAATTAATAGCTTCAGTTCATCCTTTGACAACTGGTCTGGATCACCTTCTTTGGCTGCATATTTTTCAAAAATCCTCTTCAGTTCCTCAGGAGACTTTTTAGTACTCATTCTGGTGCCCTATAAATTGGGAAGAAAATAAAACTTACCAAAAAGCTGAAGCAGAGTTTTGTGCTGAGGGTTGTCAGCAGGATTTTAGTGCCATTGGGCCATTTCCTTGGCATAAATGGGGAAGAATAAGGAAAAGAGAACGTTGGGGTGGGAATGACACCAGTAACTGCCAACATGTTTTAAAAATAAGCATCTTAGGCCGGGCATGGTAGCTCATGCCTGTAATCCCAGCACTTTGGGAGGCCGAGGAGGGTGGATCGCTTGAGGTCAGGAGTTCGAGACCGTGGAAGCCTGGCCAACATGGTGAGACCCTGTCTCTATACCAAAATTAGCCGGGTGTGGTGGCACGTGCCTGTAGTCCCAACTACTTGGAAGACTGAGGCAGGAGAATCGCTTGAACCCGGGAGGCAGAGGTTGCAGTGAGTGCGATGCCAGTGCACTCCAGCCTGGGCGACAGAGCGAGCCTCCGTCGCAAAAAAAAAAAAAAAAAAAAACCCTCAACTTAATCACATCTGCAAGTCCCTTTTGCTATAGATTCATAGGTTTCAGGGACTAGGATGTGGATAG